TAACGACTGTTTCAATCTAAGAACTCAAATTTCGCCAGTCCAGTATTTCACTTCTCTGAATTAGATCCTACCTTTGAATTGTTACTGAGGCTCTGCAACTCACTCATTCATCATAGGCATTTGATGGTAACGGTGTGTACGGTGTGCCTCAAAATAAAATGCTCAATGTTGCGCAAGTTATTCAAAATGGTTCCTAAAAGATTACACGGTTTCACCGAGCGGTCCAAAGGAGTGCTGCCTTGTTGGGGGCTTCGTCAGCTTCATCGGAATGAGGTCCATTTCTCTCGCTGTTTATGAGAAACGGATTGGCTACTGATGCCCCATTAGGAGAGAAAGAGAAGCTCAACTAAACGAACATCTAAAAACGCTCCGGATACGTGTAAGTACTCAGAAACCAACGTCTCTAAAGGCAAAAGTCGGGCTCAATAAGGGGGTATTATGGCGATTGAAACTGAGTATAGAGATGCGAAGTGGAACGACAGTGGAGAAAAAACTGAGAAAAACCGTCGACAAGGCCGTTAACAAAACCCTCTTTCCCACTAGCAGTGAAGGAGGCTGGCTTGGGAAAGAGGCACGTACAAACAAGTTTTCAGTTTTCTGGAGATGTCAGTCGTTCTATCGGTTGATACGGCAATCAACCTAGCTGATTTCACACGTTATGCCAGCCACGCACCACTTCCGGAGGTGGGCGGTCCTGGATTGACCAGGCGGCCCTGGATTGAAACCGAACGCCCCGGGGCCTTAACGGGGTTTTTCAAGGTGGGAAGTTGCTGCAATGTGTGCAGCTACCCACATACAACCTCCAGGCACGGGAATTACTTCTCTAGCGTGCCTGAGCCCGACCTTTGCCTTTAAAGAGCTAGCTCTCGAGTGAACAGGGGGAAACTAGTGATATGGGGAGCATACCAGAGAATTGAGGTGCAAAGGAGGTGAACTAGGCCCTTTACCGTCACCCTTGAATGCGTCGTATGGTCGGGCGTCTAAAGAGAATTTTAACACTTCTCGGCTCGTGGTGATACCCGCACAAAGTGCTGCAGCATTTCAGGTAGAGGGGGAACTCAGCGGCTTTTTTTTCACAAAGTTGAACTCGGAAATTATTTAGCCGTTGGACGAGAGTGACATCGACTGAAGTGGGCAGTCTACGATTGACTCTCTTCAAAAAGCTTGCTGGACGCCCAAGCTTAAAGCTTTCAGAAGCCATACTTAATCATACCATTTATGGATAAGATCAATGTCATCTGGCAGGTTGAATAGAGAATGACCTCCTTTGATTTTGTGAGGGCTTCTTTGAGTCTTTAGAATAATGTCCAATGGACTTTTGAGGTTGTGTATAAGTCTATAAGCCCCATATAAGCCCCATTAAGGAAGAATCTTATAGAAGAATTTATAAAATATCTTTCTGTCCATTTTCTTTGAAAAACAAAGATAAATCATTAGCGCTGATCACCTGTATAGAAGAGTAAAGATCCCAATGCTAAGAATCGTAGTGTAATTATCAAATATGGCTTCGCCTATAGTGCTATAGGCTTCAGTCAACGCTAGGTTTTTCTCTAACAAGGCTGGTCTAGTCTGGAGTTGTCCAGATATGCAGCCTGAGCTGGCAATCGGATAAGCGTACGATTCGAGTTTTCCTTACCATCGGCCCATCAAACTTGTCAATGCAGATTTTGTCCTCTTCAGGATGACACTTCTTGGACGCTAATGCCCATTTCACCACGATTGGTCCTCGCCTTCAAAAACCAGATCTTTACACCCTGCAGGAATCGGAACAGCGATCTGATGGTCATAGCATCAGCTCATATCAAAACATCAAATTTAGTGCGCAAACGGCTCTTGCATTACCCATAGCCTGTCACTGAACCAACTGGCAAAGCAGGCTGCTTCGTGGGATGCTTGTGAGAAGCGGCGCAATGGTTGCGGGTGGTTGCGCAGCTCTGTTTGCAGACCTCACAGTTGCAGCAAGGTCTCTTCGCACGGCCACCACCTCTCACCTGCACATTATGTCATCCCAAGTCCACTACGGCTAAGCCACTCGTCTGAGAACCTTTTGATGAAAGCCATATAATCATAGAACTTGTATACGAAATCCTCCTCTGGTAGTTTTATCCTGAATTGCGTTGCATCACATTTCACGTTTTTTTTTCATTCAAACGTCTCTGTGCCTGATTTCGCGCTCTGCAGCAATTTTGGGAAACGTTCTCACTGGTTGGAAAATCACCGCTATTTTGATGATTGAATTTTCCGCCATCTGCGTTGCTCGTCATTCGATTACCAGCTGAGACAAAAAGAAAGTTGAAAGGTACCCAATCGCCAGCACACCTATCGGTTCTCTACCCTCGTCCGTTCCTCGAACCGTCACCTATATAGTTCAATCTTTTATGATTCTTCTATCCAATCGCTCCTCCTCGCTAGTGTTGCACTGTTTTCTGTTTACCCGCATTCGTTTGTTCTGAGACTCCGAAACGGGGATGGGCGGAGTGAGATTTTTCTTCTCATGCAGTTCCAAAGCTTCATCTGAAACTTGCACTCTGACTTCGGTCTCGAACCGGCCGCCGGAGCAATCGAATCTGTTTCTTTTTCCTTGACACAAAGGCGACTCACGGCCAGATAAAATATCCATGTGCGACCGTCTTTCCTCCTATGTATTGCGCGTCTTGCACTCTGGTCGGCTTGGTCATGCAAACACAGAGCATGGCCCAAGGGGTCGTGATCGGCCGACGCGGCTCATATTTCTCTTGCATGTGTGTTTGATTAATTAAAACGGAGTCGATTTCCAATGTTTGTTCTGGTCAGTGCATGCAATTCATTAGGCACTCAAAGCACGGCAACCCATTTGAACAGCTCTCCAGAACACTTCAAAGGTCATGGCCATTTGTTCATGCTAATTTAATGATTCCGCTTCGCTGTAAGTATCATGCTCAAAATGTTATAATTTTGCGTATTACCACTTGAGAAAGAAGTCGTGCTCTTGCAAATGCAGCCTGCCAATTGCACCAGTATCGTAGAAAGCCGATGCAGCCATGGGTTCCTTAATAGCCCTATGCTCTCGCTCGGCGTTCAAGGGAGGTCTTGTACAATTCGTAGCCTCGGAGCCCTTCATTGTTTAACGATGGGAAATTTATAGCACAAAAAGGTATATCGCGTACGGATATTGCTCGGGCGAAGTGACGACGGCCGGACTGCACGACTTTATCTAATAGCATTGCATTCTTCTGTCGCATAGAATTTCGTTTTCATTTCTTTATACTTCTACAGTGCCCCAGTTTTGGGTTTATTTTCTGCTAAAAAAAAGAGGGCCTATGTATCAAAAAAGGGGAGCGTGGAGGAAAGAGCACCCTACAGTAGCCCTAACTTCGGCAGGAGGGAACCCCTGGTGTTCGTGAGCCGTTTTGCTTCTGCTCCTTTTCTGCAAAAATAGGTATTACTATGAGTTGATTGTATTACTCTTTCTCCATTCAGTGCGTAACATCGACTTGGTCAGTAGGTCAACCTATTAGAATACTTGATGCCCATTTGTCAGTAGTAGTTAATCTAAGCCAAAGAACAATCAGAGACTCGAAGCCTTGGAATGTTGGTTCATATGTCATGAAAGGGTTGCATAATCGACAACCCTTGCAAATCCGTTAGAGCCGTCCTTAACACCATTCTAGTGAAATGTTTTGGTTACTCAAAGTGTTCATTATTCGGAAAGTCTTTTTTCATCATTTTCAAATGAGTGGCATATTCGTTGGATAAAAATTTTTTGAAGTGCTGCCTTGTGTATGTTCTCTCAGCTCTGCGAGCTATGCAGTCCAAAATTACTTACTGAACTCATTCTCGACGGCATCGGCCGGGTTTTCTTACTTAAAGTCGTTTGATAAGTGCGAATCACTCAGTTTAGCAAATTGTGTATGTCTCACATGCCCTACATCTACTCATTCAAGTCCAACATAGAGGGAGGATAATTCTTCAAGTTTGGCTTCCGTCTAGGAGAAAGTAGGGGAGGGAAAAAGCTCAGATGCGGTTCTTCTCCCTTCATATTCTGAGTTCAATGTTCATCTACTTTAAAGGCAAATCCTTGCACCTCACTGGTGCAATGAGCGCTTTAAGTAATAGCTTAGCTGCGGAACGACCTAAAACGTAGGAGAAAGAAAGCAGGCGAAAGCTTTGCTAAATCAAGGCCTAAGCAGCGGTGATTTAGTTAGGTACGGAATTTAGAATTTCCTCGTGGATCCTCCTATGTCGGGCTAATCCGGAGTTTACCATTTAATATCTGTTTGTTCCCATGTTACATTGCTTGGGCCAACTTGAGATATATCTATAGATTGCTGGGAAAATTTCCCACAAAATGTTCAATTTCGACAAAATGGGTATTTTTTCGACATCAGGTAACCATTTTCTGCGGTGAACTCATGCCACTTGAATGATTATTAATGTGCTCTTACCGCTGGTGTATTTCGTAGAGCGTGGGCTACTGTAGGAGCAAACAGGGGAATGTATAAAGAAGTAATGCAATAGATTTTATTTGTAGTGTGAGTGAATAAAGTGGTTAAAGCTTGCTTACTATGAATCGTTCAAAAAAAAAATTTCTGTTGGCCAGCTGATCGTTTGTGTGAACTGTTTACTGCGATCAGTGACAAGTGCTTTTTTTCAATTGTTTTGTAAAGTGAAGACACCATGCTGAACAGCTGCGAAGGTCGCAGTCTTCCGTTCGGCCTGGTTCAAAGATGCCATTTTATCGCGTTCGTCAGAAGAAAAGAATAACTTTTGAGAGAGCCGAAATTCACATGAAGTAAAAAGTGTGTTCAGGTAACGGTTGTGAGCGCCGAGGGGTGGACTGGAAGAACACACCGGTTCTGCTGACTGGCGAACTCTTCTCAACAGGACCAGAGTTTTCGAGGTTAATAGTTTTTTCCTTCATAGCTTTCTAAAATGAGGCTGGAACAGAAGTTTTCCCATTTGTCAATTTGTATGAATTATCAACTTTAGTGTAGGACACTATTTCGAATGCCAATTAAAATATTGTTATTTTGTGAGAATCCGACAATAATGCAATGAATGACTTAAAGGCGAAGAAAACATAAGTCAGGGACATGATATATTTAGTGAGTGTCGGTAGGCCTGAGAGACGAAGTTCTCCGGGAGACGGGTGGGAACACGAGGGCACGCAGTTAGCAGAGAGTTAAATGCCTCGTTAGCCGGATTTGATAGCAGCGGACGTTATTGTGCTGCATTGCCACAAGGTGGCGCTGTCTGCAGCGTAGCCAGGTAAAGCGAAGCCTTAGTTTGCTTGTAGCGCAGCCTCAGGGGCAGTTACCACACTTCCTCACTAGGGCTGCAGTCATAGTCTATGGAGGTTTCTGAAGATTTTAATGTTACATGCCTTTAAATCTCACTGGTTAATACTTTTGCATCTAGTCAATCCCCCTTTTAGTTGCACCCCTCTCGAAAANAGAATTCAGTGCCCTAGATCCGCACTTTTTGAGCACACCATGAGGCAGTAATAATGTATTCAAAATGCTGACGTAGAAGGAGCTTCTTGCAGCGTGCGCCGTGATTGCGCTTGCTTGCATGTGTTTGGCAATTTCTTCCGTCATCGCCAAGCGAGTATGGACAATGAGCAAAAACTTGTGATAGTCGGGCACTCATAAGTAACCCTGAAGCGTGACTGTGCATTGGTCTGTCTCTCATGAATCCATCGAATTGCAAAAGTATCTGATTGCATAAGGTGTCCGCGAATTGTACTGGCCATAAGTGTTAGCCAAAACGGTTTTCCATGCTTCTCTTTTTTTTTCAGAAAATATCAATGGTAACCTTGAAATTTTTTTCTTTGAATATTCCTGAGGGTATGAGAACATTAGAAACGCAGCATATCAATCTTTGGAGGGCGTTGCTCAAGCGAGAAAAAATGATGCACTGAAAATCGTTCCGGGGAACATTTTTGACCGCTACTGAATATATGCTTGCTTCGACCTGATGTAAAATTTGATTCGATTAGTTCTGCATTTGAGCGAATCAACAGGCTGAATTTCCTCTTCGCTTTTCATGTTCGATGAATCACATTTCGCTGTAAGAGGATTTGTGGAACTTTTTTCAAAATTTCGGGCGCACACCCAAAGCAGCACACACATGGATGCATCAAAGCGCGCCTGGCTTCAAAAATTCTTTGCTACTCGTTTCTAAGCACAGTTTCAGGCAATAATCCTCATTTCAAGATAGAGATGCGCTGCGTACGTTCGGAGCGCGCCAGGGCATGAGTCTCTCATCCTGCAAGGGTCACTTATTGCGGTCTGAACATTGTGAGCATTAGACAACTGACTTGCACTTGGGCAATCTAAGCATTTCATTAGGCAGACCAAATCACATTCAAATGTTACCACGATTTTGAATTAGAGCAGATGAGGTAGCATCCAAGATTAGTACTCCGAGTAGCATTTTCTGGGATACTAAAAGATGACTATAGTTGACACGCGCAAGCGTGAGATGGCACTTAAGCTATCGTCGGCATCGCTGGCGAAAGGCTCATAGTAGCGTGGGGCTTTTTTTGACGAGATTTAAGAGTGTCAAACACGCAACGAGTGGACGCACTTCGCACAAGTGCGACTTTTTGTAAATCGCGCAGGTTTTTCTTGAGGACTCCGATTAGGCGACATCCTTCCAGCTGCCTACCGCTATATTATACTCTTCTATCTCGCTCTCCATTTACTCATTCTATTCTAGTCACCAGATCAATCAGGTGTTACCAGGAGTGTCCTGGTAAAAACCTTTTCGAAATGATGATTCGAACAACTATGGTTATATGCTTCATGTTATACAGCTTCCTGAAGTCCGAAATGACAAAACATGGTGGGATATTCGTGCCGTACACTTTCCACCAGTTCATGCTTGAAACCTACTGTTACGTGAAAACTTACTTAAATGGGTAGCTGATAGTCCCTATGGCAATAAGGCATACATTACAAGCCACATGTACTATTCTGCGACATTATACAAGTGTCAGTCGAAAATGCAAAACTTGGTCACCAAAGAGAATCAAACCATGGACCAAACTTGGTCCCTTTGGACTATAGACTCCCCGAAAAAAACGAAACATACTCTATGTTCGGCATGCACGTATGCTAATTATTGTGCAGAAAACGGTTTAGTTAGGAGCGCGGAATGACTTGAAAGACTTTAATGGTCAGAGCCATCAATCTGAAGGAGAACCAGTCCATACTCGGGTCGTTTGAGTTCACATAACTGCGGGTAGTTATCACGCGCCGAAGATTGAATCCGTTCTTGTAACTCTACTAAGCCGACCAGTTTTCATCTCTTTGAGATGTCTAATTCGGTACCAGATTGTCTGGGAGGACAAAACAGTTGATTCGTAGACTGATGTGTATCGACAGGCTCCCGCAAGTTATTGTACGGACCATCTATTTATTAAATATTGCTTTTGCTGCTTATTCATTTCATTTATTGCTGCCACATGCAAATTCGTATTTATTCTTATTCGATCTTACAATCTAATGCTTCGTAATAGCTATGAGCAAATAAAATATCGAGATGCCGACTTGCAATTTCGAATGAACATTAGAAAGATGGCCGCGCTCAAAAGCTATAACAGTTTTTTTACTCCTTTTACGCAGCGCTCTAGGGTCTGTCGTCATTGGTGCCGAAAGGCACACCGACGAAATCATCGGCATCTTATTACGAACACTAGCGAGACCACCTTGTCCCGTTAATAAGCGATTAAGACTCACTAAAGTTTTACACACGCCACTGCAATGAGCCGCTAATGACTTGGGCAATATTTCATTTCATCCATCCAATCCTCACCTTTTTATTGGGCCATCATTTTACGCGCTAAAGACTGTACGAAGCGACCACTACTCAGCACAAGCCGCTTGCACGTGCCAAGTGCTCGACCAAGGACCGCACTCACAGTAGCATAATATATTCCGAATCCATTAATTCATTGTCAAAAATAATATATTCATACTCAATTAGGTCTGTCAAATCAATCCATGCTTTACAGTATTCGTTATATAGCTTTTTGTCTACCCCGGAGTGTTCTGTTGTTTCATCTGAACCACTTGGCGCAATCTTTCACAATTCGTTTACTTATCATGACCACTTCTGATTGCGCTGGGATATGGACAGCGTTTCTAACCTTGCGAACTGGATACCTCAGGTGTGTTCTCGCCCAACAGTAGGGTCTGCGCACCTTCATCGAAAATTCAAGTCTTACGAGCACCCCTTTATGCCTACGACATTACCTCGTCTTACCATCTATGAGGCGACCTTCTCACCTAGAAACGCATGCTACTACAAACACCAGTGAAATCACCCCGTCGTGGCTTGAGAACCCTAGACACGCTCATTATTGATGGGGAAGAATTTCTTATCTGACTTTTATGTGTTATATAGAATGCATAGAAATCTGCTTAGTATGCCTGGCTGCCTACTTTCAGCACCTATCAAAGGGAAACCGTCATAACCTTAATCGTACAATGCACCATTGGTGAAGGTAGCAATAGGGTAGATCGCGGTGGTAGCAAAGTATCACTGATTAAACTTCCGCTGCGAGAACGCCGTGATTGTTCCGACCTGCCCGGGATTCGGTGAGCTCGAACTGTGCCATGTTCCCGTGGTAAACTCTTCTGACAGCGTCAGTGTAGAAGGATATCATGAAGTTCCCTGATAGAGTAGAATGTGCTCTTCAGTTTACTTGGGAGCAATAGCATTGATTCAGCACAAGATAAATAATTCCGTTTTGAACGTGGGTACAGAATAACTTTTTTCATTGCCCCCACCCCCACTGTGCTTACTGCTTATGGGCAGGATGTCATAACACTTGTTGTTAGGAGAAGGGTCAACAGTGCTGCGTTCAGACTTCATCTTTTCAATTTAGGGGTCTTCAATTACGCTCCATGTCTCATACGATTGACTGTAGTGAGCCAAGTAACTTGAAACTCTCTTCAAAATAGGGTCTACATATCAGCTTTTGGAAAAATTGGTAAAACTCATGCTTTCTACCACTGGACCACGAATGTCAATGATCCAAGTTAGCGTATACTATTGTACTGGCCCATCGCTCGCTTGAAATTCCTTTTCCATTCTCTTCAAGATAGCCCTTTTTCTCAAAAGGGGCACTTTGGGAGAACACAGAAATGAAGATTCAAACGAAGCCAGCTGTGCTGTGTTCGGGCTAGATCGTCCGGACCACAACAAAGAAATCGCTCTATCGGCGATGTCACTCTTGTCCTTCCAATCGCTTCTATTTTGAAAAGAGAGTTGCTGACACTCTCCGAACCAGAAGGCATACGCATCCAGCCTGCGCTCCTTCTGTTCTTTCAGATGGCTGTTTTTATGCCGTATTTCCTTTCAGCAAACAATTTCGCCATTTGTTTCAGATATGCTCAACAGACAGCATCACCTTTGATTATTATGAAACATCTGAATGCGGCTCTCATCGTTGGAGTTACCGTAGTCTTCCTATTTCTGAACATTTATGGACTGATTGAAATTCTTCGGTTTCTACGAGACAAGCAGCTTCAACGACACAAGCTTCATGACTCCGATGAACTGGTGGAGGTAGACATTGCGGAGCCGGTGGAGGGTGAGTGTTTTTTTTCTCCCTGAGCGAAAAAAAAACTATCGGTATCTGTTGGCACGTATGACGGCCTCATTGCGTCAACATATCCAGATTTCTCCCACATGCCAGATTCAATTTACTCAGCACGAAAGATGCAAACATATAGCCTGAAACCAATTAATTAATGGACAAATTCCTGGGACCAATACAGTGACCCTTCAGGGTTTCCAACACGACCCCTTCGATTCTTCTTTGACGGTCCTGCATACCTCCTACAATCAACAGTGCTCCTATAACTGCTTCCAACAACACCAAAAGTGGATGCAATAGATTTAATATTTGGAACAGTGAACATTTCAAAAAATCTGTAGCTCCCAAAAAAATCAAAAAAGAGATTCTGCTACAGTTTTTCTGAAATCCCAAGCCCACATATGCGATCCTCATTGGGAATTGCCAACGCATAACTTTATATAATCAGCGCTCTCCTTATCGGTAAGGTCATGTGGAAGAAAACCGCACAAGATCGCAATTGCAAAATTCGCTATCGTACTGCTGAGATAAGAGTTTCTGTAAGTTTGCAGAAAGGTCCAGCCCTACAGAATTTGAGAAACCGAACTCGAAATCAAAGATTGCAGTCGCTTTTCGGAAGTGTGCGCGTAACCGCTAACCTCACTTATCGCAAGAAAGTCTTTCAGGGTGTGATCTTTTTCGCAACGGAAATTTTGCATGCCAAGTAGCACCAATATAAAAGAAAACAGGACTTATAAAGCTGGCAGTTATTTTCGCCGAGGCGGCTCTTGAAAGGTCAAAAGAATCGAAAGATTTGCTGGTTAGGTGATTTTTACAGGGGCGGATTGAAATTACGGATCTTCTCTGCAAGAATACCTGGACCGGCGTGCAATGAATAGAAAACATCTAGTATTATAGCGGTGCGCTATTGGAGAAACATTCGGAAGCTCCTCACCTGAAATGCAAAACCTCTATGTCTCCACAGGGGAATCGAATCTTTGGAACATATGCTCACCGCGCTACTTGTTTGGCTTCACAGGGACGCTTCAGTGTACGATGGCCCCTGTTCACGCACATTTCTCATAAAGATGCAAAACAATGTTTGGAAAAGTGCTCCCTTGTGATAACCACGCAGTGCCATCCATTCCCATTGGCCAACCTCAGCTTCTTACGTAACAAAAGCTTTCATGGTCCCTCGGGTATTTTCAACTGATTCGCCATCAGGCTAATCCTTTCTTCTTTTCTCCATGCTGTGGTTGTGTTTTGGGAGAAAAGGAGAAATATGTTCACCGCATTATGAGTAAAGAACGGTCATATCCTTCTACCATCGTTCTCACGATTTGCTCCGCCCATCAAATTACATTCATCGTCCCCTTTACGTTTACGGCTGTAAAGGCTCGCCAAGCCGAAATTAGCAAATAAGTTTACGCCATGTTGATACAAGCATAGGCTATTTCCTTTCATAATTCTTGAAAGCCCTTTTCGGAAATAATGAATGTCGTAGTCAAAGACTACCAGTCCGTAAGGCCCACAAAATTGATTGTGTGTCCATGTCATCGCCAAATGAGAATGCTGTCAAAAAATTGTGCGGACTGGAAGTTCCTCGAAACAAGTCGTCAGGGTTTTAACGCCCATTAAAGGAAAACTGTGAGGGAGGCAATTCCCAGCAGGGCTGTTCCATGGCTGTGCAGCTCCGACCGTCTTTTGATGTGCAGCGGAGAATTCCGATCTCATTCTTAGTCATGATTCGGCATCGAGAACGTCTTTGAAAATGAATAGCATTTCATTATACATGAATGCGTCAAGTGCAAAATTGGCCAGCTTGAACGAGTTTTGAAGACTGAATAGCATTTCTTCAAACGAAACTGCAACATATGCGACGAAAACCTTTGTTGAATAGTCCTTCCAAATCGCGAACTACTATACAGCCATACATTATCAGGAATCGCCACATTTTGCGCGCTGAATCAGTGAACTCGTTGCAGTGTTCCGCGGTCCTTCTTGCAATCGACTCTTACTCTTCAACTATTTTTGAGGCTTTTACTAACTTGTCTGCATACAGCACAGATTGTTTTGTCTGATGAGGGTGCAATAAAAAATCAGTTATCATTCTATTAGTAAGTAAGTAAGTAAGTTACCCATTCTGAATGTGGCAAAATATGGCTCATTTAGCATCATTGTCACTCACTTTCGCGGCGGGTCTTGTCCTTCAGACATTATCTCGTCGCTATTTGCGCGAGTCGGAACCACTCCCGTCGCTGCCGCTCTCGTACTCTGCGTACTGTGCGCCTATCAGATTAGTGGATTACATGTTAACTGTATCAATCTTTTAAAAAAAAGATATACAGAATGAATTGACCTATGACTTTTTTCCCTTCGTACTGTTGGCCTTGCCGTCCATCAGTTATGAATACTTCACTTAGGCAACATTTTCAAACAGAAATGCTGGCATTGCTCTGAACATAACTACTTTTCCTCAGCTCACCGTTGGTTACACTCTTCTCTGTTGAGCCTCATCAAACCGCTGATCTATCTTTGTCTTTTTTTTCAGTGGATCCCCAGATGATTTTGCTTTCCTTTAGAACCCCTCAATTGTCCGAGGAATAGTAATGATTCTATCCATCTAAAGGAGATCTGGTGTGGTATCACACCATCAAAAATATTCCAGCAGAACAAATTTGAAAAAAATCCGCTGCTCATCCATCCAAGCCTCACTCGCAAACTAAGCTAGTGGTACTCTAATGAGCGATATCGGAGGTATATATACCGTCTATTAACGTTCACGCTCCACTGTGGCTTCTTATCTGTTTTAATGGTTTCCTCAGCAATCTTTTCTTTTCTTTTAGCTGCTGCATTAAGTCTCCCAGCTTCAGCGGCCAGGCCCCAGGAACATTGACCTGTTTGATAACTTCTAACATTCGACCAAGTGTGAAAGGGATCGGCTTCTGTTGTACGCGCATTGTACGCAGAGTGTTCCAATCAATCGTAGAGCGTTATCTTGATGCATATCTGAGCTATGCAAACCGATCAGGGTAACTGCCCTTCAGTCAAGTAGTTCAGTTAACATAAATCATAAGTTAATCCACCCTCCTAGAGACCAAATGCTCAGCCGTAATAACCGTCTCGAAAAGAACGTGTAGAGATAAAAAGTTTGGACGTTGAATCGTTACAGCTCCCGAAAAGCTTGTTGGATATATCTCCCAGGTCATTAAAGTACTTGGCGCGATATCCCTACTGATAAAACCTGAAGTAAAACGCGAAGTCGTAATAGTACTGTTTTATTGTTTGTTTCTAGAAACAACAAGCAGACGTCCGGTCGTCAGAACAACAACGTCAACAGTTGTTCGAACTACTCATCGCACCAGAATCACTACGTCTCCCACACCAACCCAACCCACAACAACTACGACGTTGCGAACTCTGCCACCGACGACTCAACCCACAGGCATCACGACTATGGTCTTTATGGCAGGCCACATCCCAGTAAGCATGCCGAGCATCCTCATCGCCATCATCACACCGCCACCCCTCACCACAAAGTGTTTCCATATTTTGTGAGTGGTTTGTTTCTTCCTGTTACATAAGATGCTAGGTCTGCCAACTATGCCAATCCACCTGTTTCTCTCCTTCCTCCTCTTACTCTTCTTCTACGGTAGATTGTGGTTGCAGTAACAAAAGAGAAAGTTTCCCTATCTGTTTTGCAACTACTTGGTGATACTATACAGTTATGCTTCGGCTTAGATCAACCTGTGCCGCCTAACTCATCTTAGGCTTCTTCCATACATAATATTAGGTTGGAAAGAAAGTTCTGCACTCTTTCTAAAATTTTCTTTTTTTCTGAAAAATCATAGGTAACATTTATGACTAACAAATGGTAGAGCATTCTCGAGGCTTCAATCCACGAGGTGGATATAAGTGCTGCAGTCAGTAGTTATCCAAGAAAATTCAAAAAACCTCGACCACTAGCAAATCCATACTCCGAGTCACTGTCTAGTACAAATGTCTCCATAACTATGGATTCGTGTCAAAGACCAACACTATCTGCAATAGCTTCAATAGGCATGTCGTGTTCACCGCTACAGCGTGTTTCAGCTTTACCAGCGCTTTCGATCTTTTGATATTTTTATAAGAAGCCAGCAGCGTCCCTCACACTCCATTACAGGTAGGGCTCTTACAGAAGCTCCACTACATACCCTTCGTTATGGGCACCATTGTGTAGGTAGAGGCCTAGGCTGTGGAATACCAGAAGCTGGCCGAGGCAGCTCGTCAAGAGCCCTCGTACCGCGACAATATTCATTTCTTTCATGACATTGCGAATCACCATGATCCGAAATGAGCCCGGTAAGAAATTCTGGAGTTGCGGCAAGATTTCTTTCCTCTCTTAGCGTAATCCCCTGGTCGAGCTATAAATGCTACCTATCCTGGACCTTTAATCATCATCTTGATGACGAAATAATTAGACGATCAACTCCAACTCGAAAGTGAGGTCGCCTCCTTTCTCGACCCGCACTCCGCTGGGTTTTGGCAAAGGAGCATCAAAATTTCTGAGCGTTGAAGACAAGTGGTGGACACTCATGGTAGATACATGAGACCGGTCAGGCCAGTTGTAACAAAAAAGATGAAACATAAACAAATATCTCTGAACACGATGTCGGCAGTAACTTTCTTGCAACAACTAAATACACCATAGTCATTGCGATAGAAGTCTTATCGTTAGACGCAAGCAATCTCATTATGACTTCAATTTAACGGTTTATCCCTAGCGAAATTAGATTGAAAGCGCGGCGATAAATAGTCAATAGCAAACACACGATAAGTAACGAACGAAATAAAATGAACATTTCTCTTTCAGATTGCTTCAACGACTACCTCAACTGCTCCACCACGAATTCATATTACTACCAACAAGGTTTTCGTGATTTTATGACTTGCAGCGTTTTCTGAAGGCAAAAAATTCTCACCAAAAAATCAAGGCAATATTCTGATAATCTTGTCTTTATCTATTCAACTCTGACGATCCTGTCCTTATCTGTTCTTCTTTGATTATCTTGCCCTAGAACTATGGAGAGACGTATCGCTGAAGATTTCATAGACGTCTTGCCATCAAGTGCAAGATTGTCGCCTGTACAAGAAACTATTTGTTTCAATACTTCAGAAATTATTGAATTTTTTGGCCTCATACTCGAAGTACAGTACTAACCCCTACAGTTCAAAAAAAAAACGTGAATTTGTGTCTTATTTCGTTTTTTGTATAATAATACGATTCTTCAATTGCAAAGGAGTTTGCTACCAGGCTCAGCTCATCGAGCTTGACCGCAGTTCTAGAACACCGCAAATTTCGGAAATCCCTACATTTAGAATCCTATTGTATCGAATTGCCTGAAAACACTAACTTAAGGACGAACCTAAATTTTCCAGTGACGTGTTACTGACGCGTAACACAGCTCTATAGAACCTAACCACACATAGAAAGAACTGCTCCAGTAGAGTACAAAAAGCAAATGACAGGAACCGTCAAAAGGTCCACAAAGCTATCAATAAGTAGCTTACTTCATCTAGCTCGTCCTTGTTTTGCACACCGGTGTATGTATAAGGCTCTGACTGAGTCTTCCATATAGTGTCGAACATTCTGATAACATTTTTACCCCATTTGGTGCTATTATCTCGAATCTCTTTTCGCTCATACTGGTTTTCACTACTATCTCGAATCTGTTTTCGCTCATACGTTTTCAAAAGAAAAAACAAAGAAAAACAGCAGGAACACACTGACCTGTGGCCCTTTCTGTTTGGCGCACCTATGTACTCTATAGAGCTCCCAAGAGTGAGAGTGACTCAAGTCCCTCACTGTTTAATTCTGAGCTCTTGGTGAGGAGCAAAATTATATTTCTCATAGGAGGAAAACCTTGAAAAACTTACGCGGTCCGACTGTTTGTTGAGAGATTCATCAACGCATCAAAGTCGCGTAAAAGTCCTAAGTCAGCAGATCAAGCCGTACTTTGAGTTGAACTTTAGTCCTCAGCAAACAGATACAGCTCTCAAATTCTTGCGATGCCCTTTGCGCAAAAACTTTTGTGTACATTCACTGATGGGAAACCAGTACTCACAGACGTCATTCCATTTTTCGGAATCCTAATCTGAACCTACGGTAACTGAAATGCTTCGACTTATTGAACGATGCACTTACGTGCTCGCACCCAAAGAGCGAAAAGATGAACAAACTCGGGATGAATTTACTAAATTTCACAGTTCAATATTCTCAAGGCGATAGATGCTGTTCCGATTGGTGATTCACATATGATATCGAAATTTCATGAAATGATATTCACGAACAATTGGCCTTTTTGGAAATGCAAATCTCAGGTGTTGTAAATGCTCAACAGCAGCTCTCCGAATTAAAGGCACGGACCGCGATCAAATTGATGTGTTACTTTCTTCGACGAAAAGTGCGAAGAGATCGACGACATCACCAGTGGAGAGAAAAGCAAAAAATGCCATAGAATACACTAAATTTTTCTGTGAGGCCACGGTACGACGAAGAGACAAGTGCTACAAGGAGAGAGGGTCTGTGAGAGAGCATTTGTACGTGGAGGGCACAGACGCTACGTAGGCGCGATTGATGAAGATAATAGCGGTAAAACGAAGGCACTGGCGCCTCTGTGGCACATATTCGAGTGATGAATGTGCCACAATCCTGGCAATGAATGCTGCTACTCCACCCTTTATAAGAATTTCTTCAAAGATCTAGTCGCGACCGGTGCCTTTATTGGTGTGAAGCTCACAAGGTCGCAGGCAAGACACACTGCCACAGTGCATAAAAACCCAGATCTCTCTCATCGTGGGCGATTCTCAGTATAGGCAATCGCTTCCCCCATAATACACATTTTAAGATATTCGCATCGCGAATTTCTCCCCAAGTTGCTTCGCTGTTAAGAAAAAGAACCAATCCTTGGATTGACGTCATATATGGCGACACTTCCCGGAAACTCCTTTTCCATCCGCAAGCACTAGCGTGACCCTCTGCACTCATGTATGTTGTTGTAGAGTACAAAAGGAGCCTCATTGACCTGAATGCGAACCCTAGGCGATGGCTATCCGTGTGTGTCGGAATGCTCTCTTTGTCAAGCTTCCGCCGGAAAGGCCTCGAACCACGAACTGCAATGGGCCGGTTTTTGTTTATTATATTGTTCATGGGATTTTGGACTCCTTGCTATTAGTGCATCCAGTCGTGCAAATCTTCGCAGCTTCCCAAGCAGTGCTTACGCTACCTCTTGGAGAGGGAGCAAGACTACCAAATTCTTTATTAGAAGGTGGACAGTTGATGGAACGAAAGCATTATAAAATTTTGTTGAAACTATGGTTCGTAAGAACGGTGGTGGTTGACTTTTGAAATGAAGACATTATTTTCGAAATACTACTAGTATCAGGGTACACTTCGCTTCTATCACAGTTGTATTCTGTGGAGGCACTGGTCGCGCTGACTGTGAGGTTAAAGGAATCCTTCGCGGAAAATTCTTGCATTCTTTCTTAACATGAATGTGTCAGTTGTGATCACTGGAAACAGCACACAAAGTTTCACGCATGAAGATTCGGTTTCCGAAGAGAAACAAACTACAAAAATACATTCTATGGACAATCGAAGGTAATTCGGGCGGAGCCAAAGGCAGGGGCATGGAAAGTATGGAAGGAAAGTGGTTGCGGGAGTCGGATACCTTATTCAGTGCGATCGCAATGAAGATCGGATTAAAGCGCGCGATTTCGGAGAGTAGAGACAAATCGATCGATAGAATAAGACGGAGTAGAAGTGTAAGATGTGAGTGCAATAAAGCAGAAAGCCAGAAAGAGTTTCTTCCTTTAACATCAAGTTAGCACCTAAAATATTGTATCGTGAATATAGAAAGCCATGGGGGAAAGTACTGCGCGAGACGAGTCACTTAAATGGCTAGAATAAGGCTCAGAAATGTGGCCGTGTCCACACGACTACCAATTGAATGGCGACGCATGCCGGCGCCGCCGCGCCGAACACCTACCCTTCCCCAACCACGGGTTAGACCGCCTATTTCGCTTTCGGGTTACATTGTCCGGTACCGTCTTCAGCATATGATGGCACACATATATTGCTACGTCATCTTTTGTAACTAGTACAGCGAACAGGCCGCCAAGCTCTATCCGAGTGGCGCTGCCGTGTCGACTGAGAATATGGGATAAGGAGTGAAACCACCCCCTTCTCCCATCGGACAACAGAGACCCTCTACGCCTTTAAAGATGGAACATCTGCTATATTGTTGACATTAATAACATCAATACAAGATCAAAACCACTCTTCCACATCGAATGACGAAATGCTCTTACAAGCTCGATAACGTTTCCAAGTGCTCCCGCCTCTCAGAAGCGCGACCTCTGCCTTTAAGTCGTTCTTACTCAGAAGAACTTTTTATTAATTCATTTATTGTAATGGTTTTTAATGGTTTTCCTTCAGCGTGTTATGATGCAGTGATAATATTCGGATGGGCATTGCTTGCTTTAGATACCCGATCCTACCACCTGATCGGTCTCGGATAGAAATCCACCTTCCGCATTCGAAAGAGACTGTTCGTCATGAGTTGCCAAGGTACGGAACTACCATTCACGTGCCCAAATTCTCCAGTCCTGCTCCTCCTCCTCCTCGGCCTCCTTTTCCTCCTCATCGTCCCACAACAACAACAACCACCACCTACAACCACGTCCACTACGCCTCCATTAGAAAAGTGAGTTCGAACGCAGTAGAACTTTTCAAAAAATGTGATTTTTCATATTCAGAGATGACGTCACCATTGTCACTGCATTAATGGACATCGGGAGGGGCGAATGGGATCGCTATCGCCGTCCTCTCGAACAATACCATTTATTCATGGAGAACTTGCTGTCTCTTCAGAATTACATGGTAGGTAATTGTAATATTTCCTTAGCCGCGCTATTTCATGGGAAAAGAATGCATAGGAATAGAGCTGACAGCTGGGAAACAAAACTTACTAGCAGCAGATGGCAGTTTACCACAAAATGCTGGGAATACAAGTTGTCATAGCTTTTGACATTTTTTGTATTGTGTCTGAAACGAGTTCTGCCTAGCACCCACGACCTTGGGGTACATTTATGAGACCATGATTAACTTTGGGACTTGCCTGGATTTAGAAAAGTGGAATTCTGTTCAACTATTTGAGGAGACTTTGTTTCTCTGTAACTTTTCCAGTCTTCTTCCTAGTGTTGATTCGGTGCAGTCGCAGAGTGTGCTGCTTTATCAATGAAGCATTTTTCAAGCCTTGCACGGATCGAACTCGTTAGTTTCTAGAGGTGCAGACATGAGCCTACACTTTTAACCACTCGGCCATCCCTGCCTCTCAGCAACACTTCCAGTATCCCGATAAATCACGGAAATCGGTGGGGTATCTGCATGAAAGCCATGACAAAGCGATCGAGTCATGGGCATCTTGAGAAAGCCGCAAGAGACGCAGAAGAGATTCACGACTTTTAAAGATGTGGAACTAGTATGTACAGCCACTAAGTCTTTCAGGGCAAGGTGCGCTTTTTCAAAACGGTTTTGTGCATATTGTAGGGACGCATGTAGGGAACGCAAAACCATGTTTCATTTTCGCTGAACGGTTATAGCAGTACCAAAAAGAAGCATAAGA